ACACACACACACACACACACACACACACACACACACACACCCCGTCACAGATTCTTGGGCTCCGTCAGGCTCAAGCAAGTATAACAAGTCTTTTAGTCTTGTGCTACAGGAAATGCAGTGTGTTTGTGCAGGTGAGGTGTTGTGTGGTTGCCAGGTTGACATGACTGAGTGGTGAAATAACCTCATCTACTTGTTCACTCCCATCTCTGTTCTTAACCTCACCCTCTATTCATAATTCAACAATTATCCATTTCATGTTGAAAGTCATGTGGGTCTTTGAGCAGTGAAACACACAACATATTCAATGTACTATAAAAATGGTGATTATGGACTCTMTACTACAATCTGAAGAGATTAAAATAAAATAAGGAGAAAAAGTTTAGTAATTAGTTATCTTTAATATAAAGAAAACAGGTTTTTCTGTTGTTTATATCTGTGAAAARGATATATTTGAGTTGTGAAAAGGATTTTGGATGTTATTAAGGTTTAAGAAGTACAAACAAAACAGGCCATCGTTACGCTGCAACATCTACAAAAACAGAGAGCGGGAACTTAGGGGAAAACAATCTGGGCAAATCTAAGAATTGGGACCTGAACAATATGTGTGGGGCTTGTCATCTACTGTATGTCAATCTTGCGTCGAAAATGTTTCCACCTGACTTGGAACGACTTGTAATCAAATTGGATCCTGAGGTGCCTAAAGATTCTCACCTCTACTGAAAAGCTCTTCAACATTTAAAGGTCATCATTAGGTGCAAACTATAGATAGAAAAGATAATATATCTTAAAAAGTCACATCCCTTTGAAAATGGCCAGTTAAACATAAGATTAATTTGTGATATAAWAACAGAAAAAGCACCAAAAAAAAGTCTTGCAGAGCCTCAATATCAAAGCACAAGAAATATTGTTARTAAATAATGCCTCGTCATTAATGTTTGTTAATGATGTGGCATTAAATAAATAATCCAGATTACAACAAGAATATACTGCTCAGGCTCAGCAAAATGCAGCAGCTATGACAGGATAGTGCTTCACAATGACTATAAACTCTCTGCAATTGTYAAGTCACACAAGGTTAAAAAGACTAAAATACTTTACAAAGCCTGAGTCAATCAGATGTTATTAATTAGTCTGAGCTGCATTTTAGTGCTGAAGGCAAAACTAAAAGCAGAATYCAAATAAAACTTGGTAATAYCTTTAATGTCTCTGGGTTCCACAGRGAATAATCAATCACATGAATTTTGGAAAGGTTTTAAACACTACCATTTAATTTATGCTTCTTCTAATAAATCTAACRTTATTTGAGTCTCAGAGAAATGGTTTATTAAATAGGTTTAACTCTGGAACTTTTCTTCTAAACTGGATAAAAGCATCTTAAAGCTGTCAATAGACCATAATCACTGTATCAGTAAGTGATCAGGTATAAAACAGAAATCTGACAGTTTCTCAGGGTCATAATGAGCCAAATAATTTGTTGGACGTTTACCTCTTTGTTGTCCTCCTCTTCATCTTCATCCTCCTCCATCTCCACATCTTCCTCACTCTCCTCCACTTCCACAAAGACAAGCTTCTCTTCTTCAAACTCCTCAACTTCCTCTGACTTTTCCTCCTCCTCCTCCTCCTCCTCCTCCTCTGCTGCCCTCTCCTCCATATCCACATCCATCAACACCTCCATCTGTATTTTTTCTGGGCTCGCCAGAACTGGATTAAACACCGGGTCTTTTTCCACCCGCTGTTTTTTCTCATTGTCCAGAGTTTCAACATCATCATCCAAGAACATCAGCAAATCCTTTCTTTCTGGAGGATTGGCAGCCCAGCTGTAGCTGGTGCTTTCTACTTTGGTCTGTAAGGGCCGTTTTCTTGGTTTGACGGAGAAATCGTCAAACTCCATGTCTTTGTCGGGCTGTTTGACGGAGAAGTCGTCGAAAACCATATCGATTATTTTCTCTATGGGCGTGCTGATGTTGGACGCAGGGGAAAGCACTGGCTCTGACGTCTGAGCCCAATCGTCAGGGTCCATATTGATCAGATTTGCGCTCCCCTCATCTGTCCTACTAAGCTTGTGTCTTTTTTTCTCCTCCTTCAGCTTTTTGAGCTTCTCTTCCTCAGCATCTTTCCTTAAGATTTCTTTTTCCCACTCTTCTAGTTGAAATTTATCCTCTCTACTTCTATTTGAGTTCCTCACTTTCTCCTCTTGAATTATTCTCTCTTCCTCTTTTTTCTGCTTCTCTCTTTCCCSCTCCTCCATCAGGGCTGCCTCTCTCCTTTCCCGCTCCTCCATCAGGGCTGCCTCTCTCCTTTTCTCCTCCTTTAGCCTCTCTCTTTCCCGCTCCTCCATCAGGGCTTCCTCTCTCCTCTTCTCCTCCTTTAGCCTCTCTCTTTCCCGCTCCTCCATCAGGGCTTCCTCTCTCCTCTTCTTCTCCTTTAACCTTTCTCTTTCTCGCTCCTCCTCGTCTCGTTGAAGTTGCTCTTCTCTCTCCTGTTGTATCCTCCTTTGCTCTTCAACTTGTTTCTGCTGCAGCAGCTTCATCATTCTTTCCTGTTCTTCCCTTAAGCGTTCCTGCTCTCTTTTCTTTTCTTGTTTCTCTAGCTCTTGCAGTCTCTGTCTCTCAATCTGCTCCTCCTGGAGTCGAGATTCTTCCCTCTGCTTCATCCATTCTTTCTCCTGCTCTTCTTCGTCTCGTTTRTGCTCCTCTTCTAAGTTGAGTCTCGTCTGTTTTCTCTCCTCCTCRTTCTGTTTCTTTTGAAATTCCAGATGTTTCAGCCTTTCTTGTTCTTGCACCTTAACCTCCCTCCCCTGAAGAAGTCCAAGTCTTTTATGAAGAGGTTGCGAAGCGAGGTAATCGTCCGTGTTTTTATCCTCAGCAGTGTCTGCCTGCTCATCCTCATGGGTGCTGGAATCAGAATCGGAGCCCAGTTTCACTGGAGGCGAGCCATCATCTGTCACCACGGTACCAAAGCGAACGGAGCGACGCTTGGCCTTTTTCTTTTTCGACAAARGGTCAGCAGTGGGACCTCCGTCATKCYCAGCAGCATCTGTTTTAGATGGGTCATGATGGCACAGCAGGATACCACCTGTTGGTTTGTTGCTCTCTTCAGATGTCTCTGTTGAGGTTCCTGATAATGTATCTTCAGCTGGGGATTCTTTGTGCGATTCTTTCTGGCTCTCTGTTGCTTCTTTAGCAGGTGACCCTGTTTGCTGTGGATCAACAGCTTGAGTGGATCTCTGCTTAGCTTTASGAACTGCCATAGTTGAATTTTCAGGTGTTTCTTCTGCTTTAGGGACCTCCYTGATTAATTTTTCAAATATTTTATCTGCTTTAGGAACCTCCACACTTGGGTTTTGAGGAGTTTTCTTTACTTCAGGAACCTCCATTAGTTTGTCAGGCATTTTCTCTGCTTTAGGAACATCTATGATTAATTTTTCAGGTGTTTTCTCTGTTTTAGGAACATCCACATTTAARGTTTCAGGTGTTTTTTTCACTTCAGGAAATTCCATGATTAATTTGTCAGGGGTGTTCTCTGCRTTAGGAACCTCCACATTTGGTTTTTGAGGAGTTTTCTGCACTTCAGGAACCTCCAAGTTTAATGTTTCAGGTGTTTTCTTTACTTCAGGAACT